ATGTAATCACTGTTATTTATTGAACTGGTTAGCAGATATTAGCTTGTGAAGCATATATACAGAGTTTAGCACTGTTGAATCATGTTACAATTTAACACAAACTATTAAATATTACTTTGTCCTCTGATTAGTATTTAGACCTACAGAGTGTAAAATAATATTATAAATATCTGATTAGTATTTAGACCTAGTGTAAAATAATATTATATATCTGCTGTTTTACATGATTGTTGAATGAGATTAACATAATTATTAATTTGTTGTAAAAACATGACAGATAATCTGTGAAACAGATCCAGTTCAGCTGCTGTTTATCTATTAGTTTCTATAGAGGCTGTGATCTGTTGTCCTGTTTGGTCTGTTTCTGCTCCTCCATGCTGTCACAGACACTACCAGTGGACAGGATGGGAGGGGCTCAGACTAGTGAGCTATATATTTAAGTCTATGGAGACAACGTTGTAGAAAAGTTTCAGGGTTGGGTTGTAAAAATAACCCCACTTGTGACAGATATATTGATGACTGGCAAARTCAGAAACTTTGTTATTGTAACTTTGAAGATATATACATTACAGAGCTCTGTTCAGTCCAGTTCTTCTTCTGTATTTCSTCTAAACACAGTCTCTATACCCTACACTGCCACAGCAGTAACAACAGCAACAAGTCAGAACAGAATTAAAAGCATTTATTGCTACAACCAATGTGGGAGTTGTGCTCTCATTGGAACACCAGCAATAGAGAAACTTTGACCATAATAGGTCAGAGGTGGCCTTCAGTGAAAGGATGACAAGATATATAGAGACTGCTTGAGGCCTATGCTCTGAGAGATGACTCACTTGTACGGTTTTGGTTCAGGGGTTACTTCAGAACATCGGCCCAGAAGTACCTGATTGAGCCCTTGTCTGGTGATGATGAAGGGGATCATGCAGTGACAACTTTCAACAGCAGCAGTTTCACCCCTGCAGTGTGTGGTGTCACCAACAGCACCTGGAATGATGACTACGAACCTCCAACGAGCCGCAGCCGTTCCAGATCAGGGGTCAGTRTCATAGTGGTACAATATCCTACATCGTTATGAGACAATCAGAACTTTAAAGTGATACTCTCGTCATGTTTGAAGAGATGGTTTGTCAACAGGTTATTGACAGCACCTAGTGACACATTCTAGGCTATGCAAATGGATAACATGATCATTTTCTATTGGTTTTCAAGTAACTCTTTTTATTAAAGAACACTACTTGCTCATATCTTATGCAACAAAATGTCTGTTAACATGCAAATGTATGTTATTACAACTGTTTATGCTAGTGGTTCTCAAACTTGTACAAATACTTGAAGGTATTCCAGTGGAGTACATACATTTTTTCAAATTCTATTAAAGAATAGCATAGTTTTGTTCTGTTATTGGATCTATCTGTGATCAATGGTTAGCATTCATAACTTATATTATGATCTGTGTTCTTTAGCTGGCTTACACCACATTATAGTAATAAATAAATTAGCTTAACATTGACGTGTGTGTCAGTAAGGATGATGGGATATACCTTACCGAGCTGAAACGTCGTCTCTGTACTTGCTTCGCTTTTTCAGAAAACATACTTTCTGGTCCGATGGTMAGGTTCAGTTGTATCCTGAGTTGTCATTTTCCAAAACCAATATAATGTTGCYGTTTTTTAAATTATKATTACAACAAAATACAATGCTCCTAAGACCGGTTGTAAACGGCATGAAGTTGTTATGATGACTTGCTGAAATGGGTATGATGGAATCAGTAGAAGGTTCTGAAGGAAACAGAGGCCAATTTCAAGGTATTTAGAAATGGATATGATGTGAATTCAARTTTATTTTTGATTTATACATATGAATAACATTTTAATAACAACTGAAKGTGACATAGTTTCTTAATTATGGTRCAGAATTGAACTATATGCCTGAGAAACACATAAAACTGGCCCTTTAACAGATTTGTATACTTATGTTTCAATAAAATAACACCATAAATCTAATTTTAAAATCATTATGCTACTCAATTTCATAAATCTAAATCTAAAAGAAGAAGAAGATTCACTTCCAACAAGGTGGTTTGAATCCTGTCTATCCTGCAGTAGACTGTACCTCATCAAAAAATGACAAAATATCACTTTTAGGTGGCTGTAAATGAGCTAAATAAATAATATCAGTTATATTAGTGATGTTTTAATTTATAAGTCATTAATGAAATGTTTGACTTTTTTCAGGTTGTTTCTATGGTTTATCAGCAGAAATACATCGAGCTTTTTCTTGTTGCTGATTATCGCGAGGTAAGATTTTAAAAAAGGACTTTTCAAGTCTGTGTTTGAAGAAGAAACACCTGATAGTAAACTGTGCACAGGTCCAACATTAGAGTTTTGACTACAACACCCTTTATAATATGTTCACTTATTAATGCATCGCATCTGATTTAAAACTGAAAAATGTTTATGCAGCTGAAACCATAATTAATCACCCAAAGCCAWAATGTTTGGGTGTTAAATCAAGTCATGCTGTTTGAAACTATCCATTTTTCAAGGGGTTGTCATTATTTGCCAATATTTATTTATGAAGCTTTCTTACTTTTTTACACACACATCAGTGTCAGGAGAAGTGTAAGGTTTACCAAGCAGAAAAAGTGTGAGTGATGTTTCAGATCTGCTCTACAGATAGAATAAAAAATTCTTATGAATTTATTGTTGAGAAACAGGACACGACTTTGTTCTGAGGAAAGCTTTGTTGTTTCAGTACATAAAGCTGAACAAGGACCTGACCATGCTGAGAAAGAGGATCTTTGAAATCGTCAATTTTGTCAACATGGTGAGTCAGTTGTTTGGCTTTTCTTCTTTTCTAAGTAACTTCTTTAGGTGCTCACTGTGCACAGAGACAGAAACTGACCTGTTTAGATCTTGATCTGTCATACTATCAAACAAGAAATAATCTTTCATTTATCATTTTTCTGGGGGGGGGGGGTTTGTTTGTTTTTTGTTTGTTTTGTGAGTATGAAAAACATTTTACAGAAGTCTTTCAAGCTAATATAAAAATTCTTTTAATTTTGATGATCTACAGGCATACAAACCCCTGAAGACCTTCATTGCTCTGGTGGGTCTGGAGGTCTGGACGAATGGTGACTTGATCACTGTGACCCCTCCAGCTGGGGCCAACCTGGATGCCTTCTTGACGTGGAGAAATGCTGATCTGATTAAAAGAAAAAAACACGACAATGCACACCTCATTAGGTTTGACAAACTTATTTGAGTAGAACCCAGCTAGTTTCAAGTCATGTAAAATTAATGGACTAAAACCCAACCTACCTATCATGCAGGGGGCAAAACACAGAACGGTACTTTATGGTATGGTGAGTGGAGATGGATACTCATGAGTGGTGGCCTCATAAGTGGGCCCATTGCTCTCCCCAAAAAGACACTGGTCTTTATTCGAACCTTCTCGTCCCTCTGATGAAGGACACGAGGTTAGAAACACTCAGTGTTCTGAGCTTCTCAGGATCCATGTAGGGTCCCCAAAAATTCTTTTCCTTAGACTACTCAGAGCCAGGCAGTGGCCTAAGTAGTGCAAAGAGGTCTSTARTTCAATGCCACAGGCATCACACAGACCATTGTCATGGAGTCCCATCACCATTTTGTGGTGATTGAGCAGATTGTGCTCAGTTAGGACTCCAACCAGTGTACTTAAGAGTTTTCCTTGACAGGGAGATGAGAGCTTTCCCAAACCTTAGATTTGGGCTGTTAATCAGTTCCTGTGCCTGTCTACAGTCCGTCAGCTCCCTCCAGCGGATTGAGTGTTGATGTCTAATCCAGGCCTGCAGTCCTACAGACTGCTGTTGAGGTACCTACAACAGGCTCTGGTCCTATAACGTGAGCCTGACTGCCAGCTTTTGCGAGGTAGTCAGCTCTCTCGTTACCATAAATGCCAGTATGTCCTGGTACCCATTTAACAGTAACAGTGTTATCTCTCCCCAGTTGGYTGACTGCTTTGGCACACTCCCAAGACAGTAATGGTGTAAAGTGTGGCCCTCTGAGAGCTCTAACAGCAGCTTGGCTRTCTGTTGGTGTAAAGATTTTCACTGAAGGTCTTTGAGTGACGCCACACACTGGTGGATTGTATATAACTTGGCTTGTGATACAGTTGTAAAACCACCTAGAGACAACTGGTGGCCTGCGGGTGACTTCCATCCAGACTGCCAGTAATTGACTTTGAGTAACCGTTGTCCCTGGAGCGGTTTAGTTGAATAGCCCTGACCTAGTGGGTTTCTGTACTCTCTCTCTCACTATTGTTGTGCAAACAGTATTTAAAGACAGACTTCTGTTTAATTTTGTCTGAACGCTAGTTCAAATGAAAAAAAAAATCCATCTTCTGATTCTCAAGTCATCATATTTTGTCTCAAAAGTTTGACCACTTCCCCCCATCTGATTTCAACATACTGGAGCGTCATGGTTTACACAAAATCCTCATGTAACATATTGGCCTTGAATGTCTGTATGTGTAGTCAAATAATTGAGGAAACCATTTGCAAGTGAAACCAACATCTATCCTTAAACTGTCTTGTTTCATTATAGTCACAAGGAAGAGGTGCCTATGAGTAATGTTCTAATTTGGTTGATTTAGCAGACCTGTAAAACTGCCAGGTGCATCAGACTGTGATGGTCGGTTCATAACCAAATGTTTTCATTGGTTATCTCTTACCAAACAAAAAGCCAAATAAAACAGATACTGTACCAGCAATGGCTAACAGATCATCTTTCCTGTAAACCCAGACATTTTTTTTCATTCAAAACCAAAAATATTCTGAGTAAATTGTGGTAAATGAATGGGTGAATCCTGTGAATTTTAATATCGCTTCTTGATTTTCAGTGCTATTGACTTTGAAGGAGCAACGGTTGGTCTTGCTTACATTGGAACGCTCTGCGCTGATCACTCCGTTGGTGTAATTCAGGTGAGGTAGACAAATAATAAGTCAGCCAAAGGTTCATCAGCAGTAAAGTATCTTTTGTAAAACATTTTGAAACCTTCAGGTGGTTAGCCTCTTCCATCCTCTCCTTCCAGGCCAGTGTTTACTCTAGCATAACTGCTTGTTTGTGTAAGGATTGGTGCAGGAACAGACCCAGAGCTCAGGCAAAAATCAAAGTCCAACAAAAATGTTTATTAAAGTAACAAAAAGGCTGACGAAGCAGCTCAAACTTACAGGACTTCTCAGGGGAACCACAAAGACACCACACAGGCTGAGGGAACACAGCACAATGAACCGACAAACACGAATGACAAGACTCAGAATATAAAGCAAACAAATCAAGAGTTAATGAGAAACACCTGGGGAGACACAGGAATCAGGTGTGTGCAGGTGGGGCTGGAGGTAAAACAGCAGCTAGAGGAACACACAGGGGAACGGAAAAAACACTAAGAAAATAAWGACAAAAACACAGATTATGACAGTTTGCATTTTTCTGAAAACAGCACAGTAACCATTAACTGTAGGACCTTTGTGATGTTTTCTGGAGATTTGAGTTGTTTATCAGATCCGGTTGATTCCTGATCTATTAATGATTCATTTTCTCACAAGACATCTACATGAATCTGAAATGTCTTCTGGCATAAATAAAGTCTGCAAGTTAGTCATTATTAGTAATTTTTTGCCAATATGTGCTTTGATGCTAAATCCAGATGCTTGTGGTTAGGGTCTTTGGGGTGCAAGTTGTGCATAAAAATAACAGCTAAATTTTGTCACATTTAGCTTCAAACACTGTTCAAAAAGTAGTGTGGATTTTCTAATGTCACCCTTTAACACATTTGAGTAGTTAAATCTAAATGTTGAAGCTAAATGCTAAATATAAATCCAAATAATAAATGTGCAATTTAAATCCTAAATGTTAAATGTAAACGCTAAATGTTACATGTAAATATTAAATGTTTATTTTGGTACCTATGCTTACAAGCAGGGAAATTTGCATATCAGCTAAATATTTAGTTTCAACATTTGGCATTTAAGATAAGATAAGATAAGATAAGATAAGATAAGATAAGATAAGA